ATAGTTTACATGGTAGTTCTGGTTTTCAAAAGCTAGACTAAACCCAAACGATATCGCGCAAGCTTGCAATAGAGCACTTGGATCTCATCCATTTCTTCAATTTTCTTTAACAGCCCAAAGTCAAGATCGGAAACATGAAATCTTTACCGAACAACAAAACTAAATTTATTACAACAGAGGTGCACTCCATATGATAAGTAGAAGTATATATCTTTACTTCTGCTATTACAACTGACGCATGCTACAGCCTTTCTGAACTTGCATCATCCTGTAAGTTGGTTCTTCGGCTTCGTTTGCTAAAGAGACGAATAAAGATAATTTTAAATGGTTTGTAAAAGAGAAGAAAAATGCTAAGTGCCATTACAACATAGATAAAACCGAAGAAAGATACGCTAGGAGAAATGGTGCCTAGAAAGGTAAGTTAAGTAAAAAGCAAGAAGAAAAGGGAAATCTTTGTCAGAGGTGGTGCCATCCTTGTATCCTGGCGAAATGGGATGAGGACGATGGAGGCAGCAAAGGCAAGCGTATTGCACAGCATGAAACCATAGAATCTTGAAGCTGGGCACGATTTTAACCCAAAAAGATCCCCCGGTGTGTCGGTAATTTAGAGTAGTAATAATGCATTTGTTATCAAGATGGACTCCATTTTCCCAGATAGTTGAGGGAGGATTCAATCCGGCTTGGAACGTTGCCGCTGCTATCATTGTGGCCATAACGGGTAGCAAGTCTTTATCCTGTATGTACATACTCCAACTCTCCTTCCAGATATCTGAAAGAATGTTCGTTTTTTCTTGGTGTCCACTTTGGTGTTTTAAGAGAGCTAACACCTGCAATGGTGTCACATTTTTTATGTAAGCTGCAATATTAGTAGTGTTGCTTAAATTAATTTCCATTCATGTCAGAAAATTGTACAAAAATATATCTAAATGAAAAGTATTAGAAAATCTATATTTTAGAGAGGGCTTAATTTATGATTGAAAAACCACATTTATAACTTATAATAGTAGTGCGGTGAAAGAATATGACTAATTTTTTTAATTAAAATCAGTATGCTAACTAAACAAAATCTAAAGTAGTTTTCCTATGAGCTGTTTAAAAATCATCACCATAATTCTTCAATTTACTCCTATCATTCTTTGAATTCAATATGGCAATATCCAAAAAATGGAAAAATAATTTCACTGAAGAAATTAATAATTGAATTAGTAAAGAGAATTGCAGCAATGGATATTGTACCTGAGGTTTTTTTTTTTTAGATGAATCAAATATTTTATTGTGATGAGGAGTACAAGTGGTACTCTTGTACCTGAGGTTAATTTGTGGCAATTGCAATCTCAAGGACTGTTTTGTTGGGAAAAATTGGCGCGGCAGGATAAATTATTTCCTGTGAACAAACACGTTAACAATAACAAATAAATGGTGAAATAGGCAACTTAGCTGACCAATATTAACGGTTAGTGAAAAAGGTAGCGTAGCCAGCCAGGCAAAATAAATTGGGTGGTTTAACCAACCACTTAGGAAGAAAATAAAACAGGCGATTTAACTAGCCACTTAAGAGGAAAAATAAATAATAAGATGACACCAAATTTTATGTGAAAAAACCTCAAAAACTATTGAGGGAAAAAACCACTAAACAAATTTC